ATATATATATATATATATATATATATTTAATTATCTATATATTAATGGATGTGAGTCCCATCAGTGTTTGAATGTGATAAAGCTCTGATTAGTCTCTTTAGAATGATTTGTTCAATTAGCTTTGTAGAGATCTAGTATAGAGCTGTATGAATGGGTAAATGAGGCACAGATTGTTGTAAAGAGCTTTGAGTATCTTGAAATAAGATGGAAAGGTGCTGTATAAGTACAGTCCATTTACCATCATCGTGTCATCGACCACACAGGAGCACGACCGAAAATCTCTGGGGAAATTGCAGAAAGTTGGTTGCTAATTTTTAGGATGATCTATGCTTTTACTTCCTATACACATCCACGTGTGACCCTTTAAGTCACCTTTGAAGCTGAAGTCTGAGAACAGTTCTCCAAGCTTGAAGGTCTTCTGGATAACTGGGATAACTTTTTACATTCTTAAACTTTCACTCTGAGTTTCTCAGCCACAAATAAAAACCCAAAGTCTATAATGTTTCTTTTTCTGCCCACAGCTTCTTAACGTTGCATAAAACTTAAAGAAGCACATGAACACTAGATCCAAATTCACATGTTTCTGTTTTAACATGTTATGGAGTGATGACGGCACTTGGAATGAAGCTTGGTGTTTGTTCATAAAGTGATGGAAAAGGTTTTAAAAAGCGGCGCAGGATCTCGTGTTCAATGTGCAGTGGCTGGAGAGAGGGTTTTTCTGAGACTTCCTTCTAGTGGGAGTCCCCCCCCCCCCCCCCCCACCCCGTGCAGTGAGTAACATAATGTCCCCCCTCTCGTTTGCTCTCATACTCTTTATCTCCCAGCCCTCACACAGTCGCTTACCAACCCAAAAATAGCTGCTTACCTCAGAGGGACACTTGTTGAGACATTTGTCGAGTCTTCTTGTGTTTCTGCGGTCTCGCTCTTATTTTTCTGAGTTTTTGTTCACTTGTGTTTAAACTGGACAGTCTGAGCCTGCTCTGCATTCCTTCTGAAGTAAATCTTGAGTCCTTAAGCCTTAAAACTTGAAGAGTCTTCTCAGGCTTAGTGAGACACCTGACATCTATTTGATCACAAGTAATTAAACAAATGTTGCCGTTTAAAGAAAACTCAACGCACACGGTTTGTTTCACGTGATGTCATGTGGAAAACAGTTCAGGTATTTGTGTTTTTGACCTGGACCTAATGGTTCTGTCCTTCTGTCTTCTTTCAGTAATGTCCCCAGTGTGGGCAGCACCATGGACCAGGAGTACAACCAGACCTACACCCCTCAGACCCACACTCCCTTTATGTCCAACAGTGCTCCACCCAGCAACAGTGCCATCGGCATCCTGCCCTCGCCTGCCACACCGCGCTTTTCAGCCCCCACCCCACGCACGCCTCGCACCCCGCGCACACCTCGAGGCCCCTCGAGTGTTCAAGGCTCGTTAAAATACGAGAATTCTGACCTGTACTCACCAGCGTCCACACCGTCCACATGCCGACCTCTGAACTCTGTAGAGCCCGCCACAGTGCCCTCCATCCCTGAAGCCCACAGCCTCTACGTCACGCTCATCCTCTCCGAGTCAGTCATGAACTTCTTCAAGGACTGTAACTTTGACAGCTGCTGCATCTGCGTGTGCAACATGAATATAAAAGGAGCTGATGTGGGCGTGTACCTGAGCGACCCGGTCGGTGAGGCCCAGGAGCCGTGCAGCTGCGGCTTCAGCGCCGTGGTCAACCGGCGTTACGGGAATAGCTCGGGGCTCTTCTTGGAGGACGAGCTGGACATCATCGGCCGCGGCTCGGATGTCAGCAGGGAGGCAGAAAAACGCTTCGAGGAGCTGCGGCTCTCTTCGCTCGAGAAATATGGAGTTGGAAGAGGGGACCGTGTCCCGGACGAGCTGATTCTGCTGCTGCAGGACCAGTGCATGAATCCATTTTCACCTATTTCAATAGTGGAGACTGACACGGCGACGCGGGGGCCGAGCAGGGCCCCTGTACCCCCCTGTGTAAGGGTGGAGGAGAGGGACTACCACAGCGACTGCTACATGGCGCTGGAGCACGGCAGGGAATTCATGGACAACATGTCGGGCATTAAGGTGGACAAGGCGTTGGTGAAGAGCACCTGCCTGCACCCCTGGGACAAACAAAACGGTGCGTGGGCAGCAGATTTTTTTACGCAGTCCAAACGTATAAATACGATGACATCAAAATTATATAGCAAGATTTTTCTTGATCTGGTCAAAGAAATGGTTCAGTTTCTGTGTAAAAGTTATAAATATCTTACCTGCTGTAGATCATGGTTTTGTGATGCCGATAAATGAAAAAGCCTCGACTAGGCCTGTCGCGATAAATAATAAATCAATTAATCGCATGATGAAAATGATCAACCTCATTTTCATTTATCGGTTTTATCGTTTCTTCGTGTCTCTCTCTTTCTACTGAAGACACTGGAGGACAAAAAGATCAACTCCGGTGCTCTTCACTGACCCCTCCCTTTCTCTTTTCTCTTTAAAATCCATTTTAACCGTAAAAAATCGCATTTTTGGATCGTTAAAAGCAGCTAAACTGGGAAGCTAAGCTACGAGCTAAGCTAACATGCCGATCTCGGGAAAATACCCGAGTCTTGTCGAAGCTCCAAAATTCACGGTTGAAACCCGAGCCTTCGTGTAAAAAGTTGTTTTTCTCTGCAAAAGAAGCTGAGAACTTGTTTACTGATGTTTTATTATTAAAAGCTTTGTGTGAAAAATGCTAAAGAGCTCAAACCACACCGAGCGTCCGCCATTTTGAGAATCGAAAGAGACCGCCCATGTCACGTCAAGGGGCCTCCCTCCCATTTTTCTTTAAGAGACACGCTGCTCGCACCCTCACTATCCATCCTTCGATTCAAACAGTCTTATACTGGCGTCCGGTGGTGGAAAAAAGGTACTACACTCGAAAATTTACCAACATTTCTTCTTAAATTTGACAATAATTACTAATAGTCAAATTTCAAACAATATTATCGTTTATCGCAATAATTTCTGAGACAATTAATTTTCCAGAAAAATGTGTTAGTGACAGGCCTAGCCTTGACTGGGACTTGTGATTGGCTCGGGACATCCCTAATTAATTATTACACGCAACATCACTTCAAAATGGCAGAACTATTACTTTAATGTGTTTTGTTGCTTTGCTTTTGCTTGTGTTGAATCAGTTTGAGATCTTGGAGTGAATAATAAAATGAAATGGTGTCCAGATGAATCCACAGTTGTTGGCAGCCTAAGTGTTGGTTTTATTATATGATCTTTTTTATTCTTTGCTTCTCTGTGCCTGTGCTCCTCAGCCGTGGACGTCAGCTCACTGTGCTCTCAGGATGTGCTGCGGGTGCTGATGTCGCTCCAGCCTGTACTGCAGGACGCCATCCAGAAGAAAAGGACGGTGCGGTCGTGGGGCTTTCAGGGTCCTCTCACCTGGCAGCAGTTCCACAAGATGGCCGGACGTGGCTCTTACGGTAAAGCGTGTACAAAAAAATGCTTCGGCTTTTTTTTTTTTTTTTTTTTTAAAGCTACTTGAAAGATAAAAAAGTGATGGGTCTGGATCAGATCTTTAGCAGTCTGGTCTCTGGTGATGTTCAGGTCAGCTCTGAGAGGAGGAGCTGTCGACTGTTTATTAGTGAACTAATATTTGAGCTGATGCATTTTAAATATACTCTGTTCTTGTGTTTTCTGTACCCCCCCACATCACACTCAAGGCACAGACGAGTCTCCCGAGCCCCTCCCCATCCCCACCTTCCTGGTGGGTTACGAGTATGACTTTGTGGTTCTGTCTCCATTTGGGCTGCCCTACTGGGAGAAGCTGCTGCTGGATCCGTTTGGCTCTCAGCGGGACATTGGGTATCTAGTTGTTTGTCCGGACAACGAAGCCTTGCTCAGCGGCTCGAAAAGCTTCTTCCGAGACCTCTCTGCTGTCTACGAGGTAGAGGAGAACGGTGCTAGCCTTTCGGAGTTGGACCAACATAAAGTAATGCAGCTTCATTAGAATGCTGGTTGTTTTTCTTTTGCAGGCCTGTCGCCTGGGACAACACCGGCCCATTTCCAGAGGCTACCCTGATGGCATAGTGCTTGTTGGGGGCACTGCAGCCAAGACCCTAGCAGACCAGCCAGTCAGTGAGTGGTTCCTCAAGGCTGCCAGCAGCAACGACGACGCCTTCACCAAGCTCAAGCTCTACGCACAAGTGTGCCGCCACAGCCTCGGTACACGTGCACACACAGTTGTTGCTCTTTATCCGCTGCGTTCTTGTTCTGCGCGGCCTCTGCTTCCTCTGGCACTTCATGCGCGTTTCGTTCAGCTCTTTGTTGCTCGGTCTCCACTTCAGCACCTCTTAGTTTAGTTAATGTGATACAGTCTTGTTTGTAAAAGGCTAGCCGGAGAACCTTGACTTTGTAAACGAAAGCAGAGCTTTGAAACGGCAACGTGAGATGAGTGTAGGAGGATGAAGAAATGGAGCGAGCTGAATATTTTTCATGCCTCCGCATCAGAGACAGCAGGAGCTGGACACCGTGTTTTCTGCTCTGCTGTTTGGTTCTTGTGAAGCCGAGTGCGTCCGATGAAGTAGTATTTAAAGTTAGATGAACTGATTAGACTTGGATACTTCAAAGTAACTGTGACTACAAGGAAGGCACATTTTCTCAGAGGAGTTTAAAAAAATTACCCGAAATTATGCAAATCATTCCACATTTACATTTTGTGGTGTTCATAGTCATGAATGCTACTTCTTTTCTATCAGATTGTATAATTGGTGAAATGTGAGCACAACTAGGGTTGTAAAATTAATTTAATTGTTTTAAATTAGAAACTTTCCATGTAAGTTGACCAAAAGTTACTGGAACCTCAAGAGAATCAACTGGAGTTTAAAATACTGTAGTTTGGTTAATAGTTGTAGTAACTAGTTAATAGTAGTTGTAGGTTAATACTGATTTTAAGTATTGTTGAAGAAATATATATTATAGCATAAGCTTGATTAAAACAACCAGATTTGATTGCAGTACCATACGACAGGAGGTACCACACCATAAAACAAATGAAACTGTCACCTGGACATGTAGGGACCGATAATAGAAACAGGCAAAAACATTTATTGTAGAGTTGTAAATAGTTTTGGTTTAAAATGCAAATTACTGAAGATCATATTGTTTTTATGTAGATTAAATGACAGAAAATGCCACAAAAAAAAAAAATCATAAAACATATAGTTGTATTCAGTAAATGCAATTTGACTTTGCTTGACATTAATTTTAGACACTACAGTTTTTTTTAATGTTACTTGCTAAAAAAAAAAGTTATATAAATACAATGAAAATATTTTGTTTTATACATGAAATAAAAAAAGATTACAGTAAAAGCAAAGGAGCACTAAAAATGTTCAAAGTGAATTGTTTTGTAAAAGCTGTGTGGTTACAACACTGTGATGTCATCACTTGCAGATTAGGTCATTATATTTGTTACGTTAATGAACTTTGAGTCAAACTCTTTATCAACCTTTGACCTGCCTGTGACTAAACAAAATACTTCTATTTTGGGTCAGATTTGATAGTGTGTTAAAATTACTGGTACCTCAGGTGATTTTTTTTTATTTATTTCTATAATTTCCACTGAAAGTTTTTCAAAAGTTTTCAGAAATGTACTGAAAATTCTCCATTCCCGAACAACTAGTGTTAAAGTGTTAGGTTAGAATAAGGTGTGTGGGGGCACATGCATATAGACTAGAGTTGCGTTCAGGTCCAAAAAAGGCAGTGAGTGTATGGCAAGCCATGTTGCCATATAATTGGATCGTCAGCCGCACGCGTCCGCTGACGCAAGAAAAAGCCCAACACTAGCCCAGCCCACATTAAGCACATTATTCTGGCCCAGCCCTAATCCGGGCTTGGGGCCCGGGTTAGAAATGACCGCTCTAATATAGACTGGACTCTTGTTAGCCACGCAGGTGGTGATTGCTGTGAACGTATCTCCCTCCCTTCATAATAATTGATGCGTCTCTCTTTATAGCGCCATACCTCGCATCACAGACGTTAGACGGTTCCCTCCTCGCACAGCCCAGCGCTCCCCCCTCATCCAGTCAGACGTCACAACAGTCTAGCTCCTCCTCCAGCACAGCCAGCCAGCAGGGCTCCTCTGTGTCCAACAGCAGCAGCGGTTCTGGAAACGGCTCTGCGTCGTCCAACAACCACACAGCCTCTTCATGCCAACCTGGCAGCACAGTCTCATCTGGCAAGCCCAATTCATTCCCCCCCTTTGGAAGCATGGGAAGCCAGAGTGGGCAGCTGGGACAGCAGGCTGGTTCCCAGAATGCTGCCACCTCAGGGGACAACTCCAACAGCCAGGCCCAGGGGCCCACAGAGCCACCTGAAAGGTACGGTGTGGCTTCACGAGCACCACACTGAAAGCTTGTTTTTAAGAATTCATGTGGCAGCCTTTATCACCGAGTGGTGTTGTTAGGTGATGCATGATGCCACATGGCTTTTTAAAAGTTGTGGACAAATCTAAGAAAGAAGCATAACATAAGTTCTTTTCTTTTCATACTAAGGCTTTCTTTTTCTTGCATTTTCTTTAGCACTTTGGAGCGGGAGAAGGTAGGCGTGCCCACAGACGGGGAGTCCCACGCTGTGATGTATCCGCCCGCCATCGTTGTTTACATTGTGGACCCCTTCAGCTATGAGGAGTCCGACGGAGGCTCGGGCCCTGCTCCAGCCCAATCCAGTGTGTGGACGCTGGGTTTGCTCCGCTGTTTCCTGGAGATGCTTCACTTTCTGCCCCCACATATCCGCAACTCTATTTCTGTGCAGGTAAAGAGACTCATCTTTGTTTGTCTCTCCTTGATTGTCGTTCATGTTTGTAATTGAATTTGCTCATTGGCGTCTAAACTCTGGCACGTCAAGTCCTCTGTGGTGTTTGTACTTGTGGCTTAATGGCTGACGCCACATTTCAGATCTTCTATTAATGATCTGTGCTGTGAAATCCAGTTTTTTCATGCAGAACTTGATTTGTCTTGATGGGAGTGGAGGATGGTCATTATTCAGTCAACTAACAACTTGTCTTCGTCCCTTTTTGTGTCCTCAGATTGTCCCATGCCAGTATTTGCTTCAGCCTGTACGAGGTGAAGACCGTCAAATCTACGCACAGCACCTCAAATCTCTAGCGTTCTCTGTCTTCACTCAGTGCCGACGGCCTCTGCCCACCTCCACCAACGTCAAGTCTTTAACTGGTTTCGGCCCAGGCTTGGCCATTGACACGGCACTGAGGAGCCCCGAGGTAAATGTTACATTTAAACACCACACGTCTTTAGAGAGAATTCTTCTGCAAAGTTGTGGGCTAGAGGATGACACAGGAGTGGATTTTCACTCCTGTCCTGTCCTGGTCCCACAGAAAAAATCCTGTCCTGTCCCACTCCTGGTAACATGACTCCCACTCCTGTCCTGCTCCTGTTTTTCATTTAATTTTTAGGAAATACATTGAATTTGATTTGATCTTCTACTCATTCTTGTTCAAATTACTTTGTGTTGTGCAGTTTTATTTCAAAAGATATGGCAACAGGAACAGTTC